CTAAAGCTTGATCTGAGAGCTGTTGTCTTGCAGAAGCTAGTTCAGAGGAGATCTCTTCAAGTCGAGATTCGAGAGACTTAGTGGCGTAGAAATCAAAACCTTCATTAGTTGCAGATGATGAATCTCTTGTCGATATAATGATATCCTTGGCCTTGGTTTGCGTTCCACATACACTAAACAATACAGGCTTTCGAAGATCACTTTCTAACACCGAACACCTCTCGTCACATGACTGCAAAAGTCGCTCCAATACATGAAATCTGTCATTCTCAATCTGCATTGATGCTATTCGATCGTCATAGGCTAAAGCTTGATCTGAGAGCTGTTGTTTTGCAGAAGCTAGTTCAGAGGAGATCTCTTCAAGTCGAGATTCGAGAGACTTAGTTGCGGAGAAATCAAAACCTTCATCAGTTGCAGATGATGAATCTCTTGTCGATATAATGATATCCTCGGCACTGGTTTGCGTTCCACATACATTATACTCTGTAAGATTACGAAGATCACTCTCTAACATTGAACCCATCTCGTTGGTGGACTCCAAATTATCCTCCAATGTATGAAATCTGTTATTCTCAATCTGCATTGATGCTTTTAGATCATCATATGCTAAAGCTTGATCTGAGAGCTGTTGTCTTGTAGAAACTAGTTCAGAGGAGATCTCCTCAAGTCGAGATTTGAGAGACTTAGTGGCGGAGAAATCAAAACCTTCATCAGTTGCAGATGATGAATCTATAGTTGTTATAAGGATATCCTCGGCACTGGTTTCCGTTCCACATTCACTAAACATTGGAGGATTTTGAAGAAAACTCTCTAACATTGAACACCTCTCGTTGCCGGAGTGCAAATTTTCCTCCAAGGCATGAAACCTGTCATGCTTAATCTGTATTGATGCGATTTGTTTATCATTGTCTCCCGCGTCATCTGCTCGCTGTTTTCTTACAGAATCAAGCTTATTAGACATCTCTTTTTGATGAAATTCGAGAGATTTATTTATAGACTTATCCAATCCCTTATCCGATGAGTATAAGGAATCTCTTTTCTCCACAATATTCGTTTGCGTTCCTATCGACTTATTCTCTTGACGAGTTCGAAGATCATTTTCAAAGCTAGAATACCTCTCACTACAGGACTGCACTAGTCGTTCCAACGTTAGAAATCTTTCATTCTCAATCTTTATTGAGGCTATTCGTTCTTCAAACATTAAATCCTTATCTGATAATTCCTGTCGTGCAGCCACAAGTTCAAACGACATCTCTTCTAGTCGACTTTCAAGATTCTTTATTATTAATCTTTCTGAGCTCTTGCCTGTTGCTGATGTTGAGTCTATATTTGTATCTATATCTTCGTATCTACTCGGCTGTTTTTCAAATCCATCAATCAATGCAATATCATTTAGATTATTTTCCATGCTAGGACACGTCTTCTCACATAATCCTAACAATTTCTGAAATCCTTCAAGCCTCTGTTCTG